GTGGTCCCGGTTGGTGGCACCAACCGGGACAAAAGGTCCTCCTGCCTGGGCAAGCGGCAAAGGCCACGTGGAGCCCCATCTGTCCCGGTTCCTGGGCGAACCGGGACTAAAGGTATAGGGCTTTAGTACCGACCCTTTGGTCCCAGTTCGGCAACCGGGACAAATGGCCCTCACGAACCGAGATGAATGAGCCTTTTTCTACTAGTGACCATACACCGACACCCTCTTCCTCGATGACCTAGCCAGGCCGGGCTACCATTGAAGATCGCCGCGCTGGATCCCTCCGGCCGTCATCGACTTCATGACCACCACCACCGAGCGCCACCTGATGAAGACCGACACTGAAGCCCTCATCTCCTTCACCGTCCACAGTAGCCCTCCAACAGCTCCACAACAGAGGCCGCCCCCGATCAGTACCTTCCCCGCCGCCGTCGACTCGCCACCGGTCTCTTTGCCCGGCAACGAGCACCGGCGGCGGCGAGAGTGGGAGACGGCGGGTGGCGTCTAGGGTTTTGGATAATATAGCATCATCATGTCACATATCTCCAACATTAGTACATTTAGGTGAAATATATGAATAAAACATCAAAACCCTCTAGAAAGAGTTTTTGACTTCAGATCCATCTGCGGAGCACTACGCTCTAGGAAAATTCAACGAAAACGCCAGCCATGCGATGCGCGTCCCTTTCACCGCGTCAAGAAAAGTAAATTCCTCCCCTGTAATGAAAAGACGTAAATGCTCCCGTCCAACGACGCGCTCCGCACAGCGCAAGAGAGCGAGCACCAGTCGTCCCAGTCCACCTAATTAGCCTCCCCCGCATCAAAAAAAAAAAAAAAAGGAGCCTCCCCCATTAACAAGAACTTTATTCCCTGCCTGCATATATACAGTACCCGTCAGCAATCAATAATAAAGTCGGCGCTGGGCTCAGCGCTCCTCCTCTTTCTTTCCCCAATTCATCCAGCTCCCCGGTGCCAATTCGGCAGCTGCCTAGCTGTGATACACTGTTGCCTTTTCCTTTCCCCGGCGGCGGGAGGCGCGGCGATGGAGCGGGCGGAGGCGGAGGTGGGGATGGCCGGCAACGGCGACGCCGTCCACACGCCCCACTCGGCGCCGCCGACGGCGCCGTCGGCGCGGGTGTCGATTTGGGAGTCGGTGCGCGCGTGCGGGGTGTGGGGCCGGGACGTCGACAAGGCCGAGCTGCGGCGCCGCGTCGTCATGCCGCTCTACGCGCGCCGCGCCGTGGCCGCCGCCGTCGCCGAGAAGGACGAGGCCGCCGGCGTGGCGGCCGCCGCGGCGGCGAGGGACGAGGGAGGGGAAGACGGGGAGGAAGGATTGGAGGTGGTGACGCCGATGGTCGTGTTCGTCAACTCCAAGAGCGGCGGGCGCCACGGGCCCGAGCTCAAGGTGCGCCTGCACGAGCTCATCAGCAAGGAGCAGGTGGGTGATGACCTCGCGATTCACGTGCTCCATCCCAATTCTGGCGTTTTCTCCCCCCTCGCTTTGCTTTCGTGATGGCCGTTGCTGTACTACTAATTGTTACCCCGCAGCAGATTTTTCTTCCCCATTCGTGTGGAACCCGGCAGGAGATTGATTTAGAGGTACCACTAGTATGATTTAGTGCGAGGTAATACACCCCCTTTCGGCTGGGACTAATGGATTCTGCTCCGGTGGTACTTTCATGGTACAATTGGTACTATCGTGAGAGGCTCCGCGACTTGTGATCTGAGGAGGATGGTGTGACGCGACCAGAATCTCTAGTTGCCTAGTATGTGTTGAGAAGATCGTCATGCCCCATATGAGGCATTGTACTAACCTTTTTGTTCCCCTTATTTCCGAGTTCTGCCTGATACTGCCAAGGTCGAATCATCTAGATGGCCATGCACTTAATTGGTACCACGAGGGGTTGGGGGAGTAGGGATGAAGACTGATACCTGACCATTATGGTTGGATGATAAATGCATAATAAATTTCGTATACCGTAGGCTGCTGTGAAGGCTCCATCAGACCGTGTCTCACTCCCACATGTGGTTCTAGAAGAGGTGATGAGGTGAAGGAAAAGAACTAGGACGGTAGGTGTTAGGTGGGGATGGAGGGAGGATGATTGTGCAGGTGACAGTAGTGAGAGTAATGTAATGAGACTGTCTATAATTTGTAGCTTGACATTTTCTTGTAACAGAAGACAGGTGCAGAGCCATTTGGTGATGGTCACCGATATTGTTTCATGTTGATGATTATTAATCAACATGGAAGTACTGGCTTCTACCAGAGTTAGCTGTGGGTCAACATGTGAAACTGGAGGTTGGCTTGTGAGGATTGGGCACTGATATCATTATGTGGTGTAAAAGGGTCAGAACTGATAGAAGCTAGGGCCGTAAAGAACTATGGATATGGGGCAATTCTGTGGAATTTGATGGTCTTTTAAGGGCTTGGAGAGCTAACACAACATGTTATTGTGGTTGTCAAGACATGCTAACTGTTTAGGACTCGTCTGTAATGCCAATTCTGGATTATTTTGTGCACTCAGAAGCCGCCACAGCATGTCTTTTGGAAATTCTATTTTCTTATTCTTTTGTTTGTTCTGGAAAACCATGGACTGTATAGTACTTGCTGATCGAACCGTTTTTGTTCAGGTCTTCGATCTTTCTTCTGTGAAGCCTTCTGATTTTGTTCGCTATGGTTTGGGTTGTTTGGAGAGGTTGGCTGATCAAGGTGATAACTGTGCAAAGGACATCCGTGCAAATTTGAGGATTATGGTACGTGCTTGATGGGCTTCAGTAAGGATATTGTATCTGTCAGAAGCTTTTAAGGGCTCGCTGCATGTTAGCTTTGTTATTTACTGTTAGAAACTATTCGATAAGTGAGCTTATATCTTAGCTCATGAGAGGTTTCTGCTCCACCATTTAGGTGTCCATATGCTTTCCTTGTATGTCACAGTTTTCCAACTGCTTTGCATAACATCCTTGCACTAGTTCTTTCTGACAGGTTGCTGGAGGTGATGGCACTGTTGGTTGGGTACTTGGATGTCTCCAAGAACTTAATAAGTTGAAAAGGGAACCAGTTCCCCCCACAGGAATCATTCCACTTGGGACAGGAAACGACCTTGCTAGATCATTTGGATGGGTAAGGGCCGATATGCGATGACGCTGTTCTGTTTAAGTTCTTTGTTTTCAATTGAAAATGCTAATCAACTCAAGCACAGGGTGGCTCTTTTCCCTTTGGCTGGCGTTCAGCTGTAAAGCGATATCTCAACAAGGCAGTGTCTGCTTCGGTCGTCCATCTTGACAGGTGAGAATGTGAGACCATTGCTCGAGAGTTATTTCTCTCTTTATTCACCTATATGCGTATTCAGCTCATTTTGTTGATCGCTGGTACTTCAATTTGATAAACACATTTTGTACTGCTGAGTAAAACTTATCATATACCTATCTGGAATATATTTCCTGATGGTGGAAAGAAAACCGTCAATCTACACAAGCCCAGCACCTATCTGCCATATTTATTATCTCCAAATGTGTAAGATGTGTACATCGCAAATAGGCTCAACTCTAGATGTTTCTTCTAATAATTGCACATACACTGTTTTTGCTCTGAAAATTGCTACCAATGTTTTTGCAGTTGGCAGGCTGTGATTAGGATGCCAGAGGGAGAAATAACAGAGTTGCCACATGCACTTAAGAAAGCGGAACCTGCCGATCAGCTGGAGTTCAGCAAGGTCTTAACTATGAATTTACCTGGAAATTACAACCTGAAATAGAAAACAGACTTTAGCTCAAATCTATACACTCGGTGGCATGCTCTTCTTCCATTGTTAGATCTCTTCTCCACTTAAGAACATTGTTTAGACATTTATTAAGATTGCAATGATAACATAAAAAACTATTGTTGAGGTAGTTCTTTTTTGAAAGCGAGTCGTAAGATGAACTCTGCATTATATTGTTTGTTGTCTGCGCCTAAATGATCAAAGATAGTCTAAACTTTGCATTTTTAAATTTTTAAGAAATATTCAACCCAATTCTGAAAATCCAAGTTGCATACAGGATGTCCCTTACTTACCTAGGAAAATAATTTTAGTTACTGCTAAGTTTTGCATAGTAACTTTGAATGCGTGCCACTCTTTGACTCTGCATGGTTGCCTTTGCCTGTCATACTTGCTATTTCAAATGCTTGTTACAATTTGTTTCTCTTGAATAGTTTGATGGATTGTTCCAGCATCTTATTTTCTTCTGTCTATTGTCAACTCTGCTTGACAAATACTACGATCCCTCCTATATTTTGTCTTTCTCAGTGAATGTGCACGTACTTATGTATTTGCTAAAGACCTTGTGTAATTTGGTGCAGGCAAGTGGCAGTGAGTTAACAGAAAAAGCTTCTTGCTATAAAGGAGTATTCTACAACTACCTTAGCATTGGTATTACTTTGTTACTTCATCTACTTCCTTTCCTTAGCTAATTCTGTTATTTCTTGTGAACTTTACATGGTGATCTACATCTACTTGAGAGGTGTTTAGGGTTGCCTAAGATTTTTTTTGTGCGCTACACCTTAATTTGAAATTTTGAATGGCTGAATATTCTTCAGTATCTGGAAGTTTGATGTGAAATATATAATCTAAGAGTACACACACTGTCTCTATGATAATATAAAGTTGTAAGACTACAACTGAAACCACAAGATATAAATGTATCAGATCAATGATTTTTTGCTAAATTATATGGGTTATTCTTTATTACAGTTTGTTAGAGCTTTGATTCATTGTTAAGTGTGCCATTTATTTTGAATAGGGATGGATGCCCAAGTTGCATATGGCTTCCACCATCTACGAGATGAAAAGCCATATCTTGCTCAAGGACCAGTTGCAAATAAGGTGCGGAAAGAACTTCTTTAATGGTGTAATTGTGAAGTGCGATCTTTTTCATGTATGTCATTGTGAAGTGTGATATTTTTCGAAGCCCACAGTAATTTACTGAATTCTTTTGGTGAGGAGCTTCGCATTCACAATGTGCTGGTTAGCAACATCTTCATGAGTTAGTTGTCTTCTATCAGTAGGATATAATAAGTATGGCAGACTGATAGATCACGTGATGTTGCACACATACAAAAGAACTCATACACCCAAGTTCTCCCATATTATTATCATGTGGATCCAGCTGTATACTTGATAGATAAGCTGGATGTTATTCTGCAAGTTCTTCTAGAATATGTAACTTCTGAATAAAGAAAGAAACTGGCTTCAAAGATTCCTTTTCATTTTCTGTAGCATAGTTATCTGGTATCTGAAGGGGAGCCTTGGCGCAGTGGTAAAGCTGCTGCCTTGTGACCATGAGGTCATGGGTTCAAGTCCTGGAAACAGCCTCTTACAGAAATGTAGGGAAAGGCTGCGTACTATAGACCCAAAGTGGTCGGACCCTTCCCTGGACCCTGCGCAAGCGGGAGCTACATGCACCAGGTTGCCCTTTTTAGTTATCTGGTATCTCAGAATTCTATGTCATGCTGTTCTGCGACCTATAGGTGACTGTTTTAGTAATACTTGGTTATATGCAGTTGATTTATGCTGGATATAGCTGCACGCAGGGATGGTTCTGTACTCCTTGTACAGCAAGTCCTCAGCTAAGGTAATGACCTGCCTTTCCATGTACTTTGAAATGGAGCTGGACTTTTAAAGTATCAAATAGTTCCTTTGTTTTGATCCATCCTCGAGACACAATCATGGTTTGAGGTTAATTATGAGATTCGACCCACAGAACTTCTAAAAATAGCAGTTGTCCCAGACTATAGTACTTTCTTGGTTAACACATGAGGATTTGGATTCAAGTTCCACTATGCTCAGTACTATGCAATGCCAATGATCCACTGTTTTTATGCTTTATCTTCATATTTTTAGTGTTCATAAATAAACTGCAATAGTGCTAAGATATTCTTCTTCCTTTGTTTGAGACATTTGTCTCAATCATCTATCCAAGGCTGACAGAATGCTTTGTTAATGCAGGGGACTTCGGAACATTTTGCGGCTTTACATTAAAAGGGCAAATTGTTCTGAATGGGAGCAAATTCAAATGCCTTCAAGGCAAGTCATAGATTCTGTTACATTCAAAAAAGATATTTAGATATCAATGATCCTTAGGATGTCAGAAAATTGAGCAGCTGACTTTATTTATACGAACCCAGTGACCATTGCTATTAGTTTGGGCATTAGTGTTCAAAAATCAACACTGGGCAATGTATAGCATATGCAGATAACGTGAATTGCTGAAATGTGATGTCTGGTAGACCGTTTACAATGATTCATCTGAAAATATTTAAATTGGCACAAAAACTACATATGTGGGTTCAGTAATTATCTAGATAATAATTAATTTACCATATTTTGCATAATAGTAATATATTTGGTTGTCTTAGCAGCAGCCTGCCCTTTTCTTGGGCCTTACCTTTAACCGTAGAAAAATGTATGATATTGCTAATGTCAGGCCTGCTCAAAGTACGTAAGAGGTAAATAAATATTTGAAATATTGTGTGATGCTTAGCTTGTACTCCCTCCGTGCCTAAATATAAGTCTTTGGAGAGATTTCACTATGGACTACATACGGATGTATATAGACGTAATTTAGGAGTGTAGATTCACTCATTTTGCTCCGTATGTAGTCTTTTATTGGAATCTCTAAAAAGACTTATATTTAGGAACTGAGGGAGTACTACATAACTATTATCGGTTGGTTGTGTCAGTGGCATACCGTTTTCAATGTTTTTGGAACTCCATTTGCAATGTGTATTAGTAATACTGTTGTGAATCCTGGAAGTATATCACCACGAAACAGATGGTAGAGGATAATGTTGTGACTATCTTATTGGTGATGCGTTGGAACTTACTTGGTTACTCTTGATGATTGTCCTTCAAATTTGCTGTACAAATACTTATGTTGTATATCACCGAAATTGAGCTCACGTTTATTTCCTTCTGTTAATAATGCAGTGTTAGATCACTAGTGGTCTTAAATCTGTACAACTACGGCAGTGGAAGGCATCCATGGGGTGATCTTAAACCAGATTATCTTGAAAAGGTTGGTTGTTGAGCTTGCTCATGCATGCTGCATGATATTTTAGTTTTCTAGTCCAGGATATTGGATTTATAGCTAACTTTGAAGTTGCCAAATGGGATATATTGACCGCACGCGAGCATAATAACATGATTTGGTCTATCGTTGCTGCTGTATTTGTTTAGAACAAGTGGTAGCTACTAGGTAGAGTTCAGTATTGGGTGGGGTTACACAAATGGCCCTGTTTGTTCTATGCAAATGATGTGTCTTTTTCCCCCTCCTTCCAGAAAGGTTTTGTTGAAGCTCATTCAGATGACGGTTTGATTGAAATATTTGGTCTGAAAGAAGGTTGGCATGCTTCATTCGTTATGGCTGAGCTTATCAAAGCAAAGCACATTGCTCAGGTACTTGCCCTAACTTTGCATTGATTTTCCTGTCAAAGGATTGATCTATTTGGGTATCATTTCTTCAGTAACTTATGATGAACTTCTGTCCAAAAATATTGCATTCTGTTAGGCTGCAGCTATCAAGTTTGAAATGAGGGGAGGCGAGTGGGATCGAGCATATGTTCAAATGGATGGCGAGCCATGGAAACAACCACTCATCCAGGACCAGTCGACAATTCTGGAAATAAACAAGGTTCCCTATCACTCCCGGATGATAAACGGGGATTCATGAGATCTCCCTATGTCAATCAGGTATTGATTCCGGAAAGTCCATTTTCTGGTTGTCCGCCGACATCAGTTGCATCCTGATAGCTCCCTAACCATCCAATTACCATGCCATCTCAGGGTTACACTCTAGATCGGTAGGCTATGTACAGTTTAGGAGCAGCTGGAGCTAGAATCCATAGAGATGGCTCAGCTGCAGCGAAGATGATGCAATGTTTATTGGCCTTTACCATGCCATGGTCGAGTCATGGCAGGAGCACAATGCGCCACCATGTACTGTTGTATCATATATAAATTATGTTGTATCCTAGTTCCTTTCCGAGGGAAAACAATTTGAACTTGATTTGTATTGTTTTCTTGTCTCTGGTAAACAACCAGATGAAAACCACCATGTAAGATTAAGTTATTATGCTTTGTGTTCAATACAACAATTCTTTTCCCTCCGAGACGATCCTTTGTCTGATGTCAATCCTTTTGCTTAGAGTTGTCTAGATATATGGATATATCTAGTCATGTTTTAGACTTTTAGTGTTATGTATCTAGATAAATCTAAGACAAGAATTTTGAGACGGATGTAATACAATCCGTTTGCTTTTAGCTATGTACTAAATTGTGTTCTTTTTTACCATGTACAATTAACATCAGAGAACTTCTTTCCTTCGAATTCCCTAATGTTCACTAGAAGAAGAATACAAAACGATTTTCTGGCCAAAGTACAATTAGTGCCACAAGACTAGAACTCCTATACTGAAGGCATTCCTCATGGAAATGCTTCTACTCTTACTGCAGTTGAGAGACAGTTGGCCTTGTCATCTCCACGGCGGCTGCTGCCCCCTCCATCCTCTGCTCAAATGATTCACTGATCTCCGACACCGGCGTCCCCTCCGGCGAAGAGCCAGCATTCATCTCCGAGCTGATGTCCACGCTCAGCGGGCTCGCCCGTCCCATGGCGTGTTCCTCCCCACCGGCCCTCGGCGTCAGGCTCGCGTCGCCGCCGCTCCATCTCGGCGTCCTGCCCGCGTAGTCGCTGCCGTTCCTGACGGAGTCGTCGTTCCACGTCCTGAAGGTGGGGGACTTGATGTCCCTCTTGTCGTAGTGCTGCAGCAATACGCGCAGCCTCCGCACGGGCACGCTCCCGGAGCCGGCCTCGGCCTTGGCCTCCGCCTCCGCCTCCCGGAGCTCGTCGCGCTCGCGGTACATGAAGATGGCGACGTAAAGCAGCAGCATGAGGCTGGAGACGACGCCGGTGATGAGGAACAGCCCTCCGAAGCTCCGGAAGCTGAGGTTGGACGAGCCGTCGCCGCCGCCGATGCCGCCCAGCGCGTCCCGGCACGTGCCGGGCTCGCCGAACCACGCCTTCTCTATCCGCGCCATCTGGTCGCCCTCCGCCAGCCTCAGGATCTCCCGCGACACGTCGCCCACCATGGGCGACCCGCGCGGGAACACGAACCCGAAGCCGTCGGTCTTGTAGACGGGCCCCACCTGCATGTACCCGTCGCAGTGCTGCGACAGGAACAGCTTCAGGTACGGGATCTCGTCGAACACCGCGTCCACGCCGCCGTTCGCCGAGCCATTGGACAGCGCGTCGGCGTACTGCTCCAGCGTGCTGTACTTCTTCATCTTCCTCCCGTCGAAGCCCATCTTCGTGAGTAAGGGCTCGATGAAGCTCCCCTCCTGGTACCCGATGTGTTGGCCGCGCCTCTGCAGCTCCTTCACGTCGGTCACCGTCGGCCGGAGCTGCTGGACCGTCAGCATCGACGTCAGGCTCGCCGTGTAGCTTGACGTCAGGATCAGCACCACGAACACCCATATGATCACCACCAACCTCGACAGGTTGCTCTCCAGCTTCTCCTCTGAAAATTAAAACGTCAAGATTGATTAATTTGGTAATTGATATTCTTCAAGAACTCTGCAGAATTGAGATGATGAGATGGTTAGTAAGTGGCTTACTGTGTGCGAAGACGAGCGTTGAGAAGGAGAAGTAGAAGATGAGGCCGAACTGCTGCGACGGCGTGCCGCGGAACTCCGGGTTGACGCGGTGCTCGATGACCCACACCACGAAGCCGGTGAAGCAGAAGAAGGCGAGGCTGGCGAGCCAGAGGCTGGTGGTGAGCGGCTGCAGGAAGATCCACATGCTGGCGCTCGTGTCCGGCCGCGTCGCCACAACCATCGCCCACCCGGACTCCGTGAACGGCATCGTGAAGTCCGCCTCGTGCATCCTGCTCGCCGTGATCGTCACGTCCCCGACCGCAATGTCTGCCTCCCCGCCGCTCACCTGGTCCACCAGCTTCTCGTAGGAATCCGGGCTTCGGGGGAACGGCACGTACCGGTAGTTCACCGGGTACGGCAGGTTCTTCATCACCGCTTCGAACACGTCGATGCAGTACCCGGTGACCTTCGGCGTCGTCGAGTTCTTCTCCCCGACGACGTCCACGAACTGCTTGAACCCGTTCTTCATCGGCACGGCGACGTTGAGCACCCGTCCGTTCGGCGACTCGGTCCAGCCTCTCGGCTTGGACAGCGCCTCGCCCGGCCAGAGGATGGGTTTCAGCTGCCGCGCAGCCTTGCCGCCACCGTTGTTCAGGTCCCGCAGGATGCCGGACTCCGGCGTCCAAAACCCCACCGTCCTGGCGCCGTTCCCGATGATGTTCACGACCTCGTACGCCGCCACCTGCAGCTGCCCGTTCACAAGCTTGAACCTGCCGGCCATCCCGTCGAACGTTGTGTTGACCACCGCTCTGAGAAGCGCTGCTCCGGTGGCCGACACGCCGAGCCGGTCCAGGTCTGTAAGGGCCCTGCTACGCTGCGGCGTCTGAAATGCCGGGCCGGGGACACTCGCCGCCTCGGCTGCCGCCGCGATCGCCCACGCCGTGTCGTACGACCAGAGCCTCGTCACGGTCGGGTCATTGATCACGTCGTCGTCGGAGGCCGGGTTGCCTCGTCGGAACCTCGCCCTGAACCGCGCCGAGAAGTTCTTCACCTGGCTCGTGAGCTCCACGTGAGGCCGGAGGCTGACGACGCCTTGCATGGCGTCGACGTCCTCGGGGCTGAGCCTGTCCACGAGGCTTCCGACGCCATCTGTGACGACCCAGGCGTAGCCATCGGACATCATCCCGGCCTCCTCCGCTCGCCGGAAGAGCCGCGTGGCCAGGCGGAAATTGGCATGCACGACGAACACGCGCGTCGGCATCGCCTTGAGGCGGTAGAGGAGCGCGTCGAGGGCGTTGTCGTGCGCGCCGCTCGGCACGGCCACGCGTTCCACGATCGCCGCGCTGTCGACGCTCTGGAGCGCGTCGGCGAGCGCCGGGAGGATGCCGGTGCCGTAGGGCGAGTCCTCGTGCAGGACGACGGCCGCGCGCCATCCGAAGTGTGCTAGGACAGTGGCGACGGGGGTGGCCTGCAAGGAGTCTTTGGCGGCGGTGCGCACGAAGTAGGGCGTCTGCGCCGGGGAGAGGGACGGGGACGTGGCGGAGTAGGAGAGCACGGGGACGTGAGCGCGGCTGCCGATATGTGCCACAAACTCTGCCTCTGCTGATGTCTTGGGCCCGATGATGGCCTGCACCTGCGCGTTCTTGATCAGGTCCAACGCTGCAACAACAGCAAAGAAGAGGAGTTTTAGGCCCATGGTACTCTTTCAGCCCTTTAAAATCTGAACCATTAGAAACTTTTAAGGAGCCCAAACTAGGAGTGAAAAATGATACTACAGTTTTCTAAATAAAAGGCGAGAAAAATGATTTAGTTAGTTTCTCTCAACAAAGGAAACATTATTATTTTGAAACAAAATTAAACATTTTTTTAGGGAACAAAGTAAACATTCTTCTTTTTTTGTGGGAGCAAAAGTAAACATTGTATAAGTGTGAATTGATGAACACCCGATTTCTGCTCCCATGAAGGATCTACAGAAGCTGAGCAGTCAATATCATCGACCAGATTAAGAAGCCATCTACAGTGGTTGGTGTACCAAAGATGACTGGGGCTGCACCAGAGAACATGTAAAGTAATGAACATCCGATTTTCCTGTCGTGAAAGATCTTTTAGAAGCTGTCGAGTCACTTTCATCGGCCAAATTAACAAGCTAGCGCCCATCTTTCTGCTCGAGGACTTCGAAACTACTGTCGTGTGTATAGCACTGCTGCGAGGACTTTGACAAGGAAGTTCGAAAGCGAGTCGTCTCCCAGACCCGAGCAGACGACACACATGCTAGCTAGCTAGCTTGGACTGCATACATGACCGACGATGACGAAGAAGCATGAGTGGCCATGACAAGTACTATAGCGTATAGTAAGAATTTCCAAGAGTGCTGCTAATTTTGGAGTGGCCGTTCAACGTTGCTGACCCGACATGCATGATGCACGTACGTCCACATGGTGCGATGCGTTGAAACTTGGATCCCATGCATCTAGGGGAGTGGTTGCGATGCGTTGCAGAACGGATATAAAGATTTGAGGCATCTATCTATGTCCTTATCGTCGACTGTCGTCCCCAACTAATCTAGCTACAACCACATGAGCCATGAAGCTTGACCGACTCGCGCGCTAGCACGTGCATGCGTACGTACGCGGTGAAGAAGCAGACGGCGCGGACTAATCAGACCACACCAGTCCAAGCGCCCAATGATCGACCCTAAGCAGCCAAGAATAGTTAATCTTTGTCGCACAGGCTGACAGCACGCACGCACGTACCAAACCCTGACAGAAGTAGCGAATATCTGCACTTTGAGTCCACCGGTCGCGGTTAAAAATGGCTGTTTATGCCTTGTGGGACGGATTAGTTGGGATTCCAACGCAGCTCGATGGAGATGTGGTGGTTGTTAACTTGAATCCCCCGCGCGCCGTCGTCGTCCTTGTGTTGACGGTCGAGGAGCTGGCTAGCCGGACAAAATGGCGACAGGGCCGGCCACGATGGATGTCCATGCAAGACGACAATTCTAAGGCTGGCGGCCCGGCAGCCGGCCGTGAGAGGCGCCGCCGTATCCGGCGGCACCACAGAACAGCTGGTGGCTCGTGTACCACAGACGGCGGGAGCTGCACAGTCGTACGCGCGGAGCTAGCAGACTGCAGCCCCCAGTGGGTAGGCCAAGACAAAAGAGATAGTGCTAATCTCAAGACGAGCTTGGATTAAGAGCTTAATTAGAGAAGGCAGCCATGATGGCGTACGTGATAAGCGAGCGAGGTTAACTAATTACCACCGGAAGCGGCGACGTCCGGCCCTGGAATGGAGATCCGCCCAGGTGGCCGGACCCGCCGATGTGCGCCGCGCAGCCATAAGAGCTGCACAGTCCCATGCGCGCAGCAGCCGCCGGTGATCGAGGGACTAAAACGGCCAGGCTAGAGAGCTAATGTCGAGACGGCAAGCTTGCGTTCGCAAGTGTTATCGTGGACGGCAAGCTAGAGTACGAGCTTGCATAGATTCATGAAGCGAAAGAGCATAATTAGAGAAGCAACTAGCTAGGGAGCTTACCGGCGGAAGCGGCGCCGACGACGTCCCCTTTGGAGTCCCCGAAATGGAGCTCCACCCTGGTGGCCGACCCCGGGTGCGCCGCGTAGTAGTCCTCCACCGCCATCTGAATGCCGGTCCGCCGCCGCAGCGACACCGCCGACGACGCCTTGGTCGCCCAGTCCAGGATCACCCCGACGCGCACCGGCACCGGCGCCAGCGCCGACACGCTCTGCGCCGTCGCCACCCGCAGCGGGCCCGCTGGGTGCTGCCCGACGAGCGCGGCCACCACGAGCAGCAGCAGAGCGTAGAAGAAGGACGGGCCGACGAGGGAAGAAGGCCGGAGCGCGCGCACCATGATCGCGCAACCTGGGAAGAAGCTATGGGATCGATGCGTGGATGATCAGGGACGTACCCTCTAGCGGCGGTCGCTTTATAGGCGACGTGGATGGTACCGGCGATGGAAGTGGAACCTGGCGCGATCGATCGATTTGGTTTTGCGGTGGCGTACGGCGACGTTGCTCTTGAAAATCACTCGACTCTTGACTTTGACTTGTATGCGGGAGGTGGGCCACGTACGTGTACGTTCGACAGCTACGTGGCAGCGCAGGAACCGGTCAAGAGCGTACGTACGTACCCCCTTGTGGAGGTCGACTAGGATAGAAAGGGAAACGACCCATGGTGAAAAGAGAGTGAAAAGCTCAGAGCTCTCGTCTTCTTTTAATCCCTCTCCTTTGATCTAGGAGTAGCTAGCTAACTCTAGGGCTTAATTGTCTGCTGGTCGATTGACTCTGCCTGCCCCTCCCGTGCATGAATTTTTTACCGGGTTCAAAGAGGAATCATGTTCTTCGCTGTTGAAAATATGTTCCACAAACATTCTTTACAAAAAATGGGATGACCGTGGGGTACATTTACGTAGTGTGTACACGGGACGTAGGGCAAGCACCGACCATGGCCACGACTTTGCTGCGGTGCATTCCTGCCTCGTTGAAGACGTTTGTCGAGTTGCACAGAGTCAAATTTTAAGAGCAGCTGAAATGGAGAATCTTCTGGAGTACTTTACATATGGTTTGGATGGTAGCAGGTAGTTCTGTTAATTGGCCCGTTTTGTTGGATACATAATTAGTAGTATACAATACAATGAAACTACCTACCTCTAGGGCCTGATTGAGAAAATCCTACCCTCTAGGAGTGTAGGAGACATAGATTATCCTAAATTGGAGAACTTTAGGTCACTGGCTAGCTTGCTTCACGTCACTTGTTAAGCTGCTGTACGCATTCTATACTCGATCGAAGAACGACATGCGAAATTTCACGGAGTGTTCCGGCATCTACACGACTACACACAAGAATGTCACCCGCAGAAAAAGAATATAAAACACACCAATGTCAAACCTCGTCCCATAATTTCCAATTGCGATCCTGACCTACTACTAGCTTATTCACAAAGTCCACCGGTTGCATGAAAGAGATGTGCAAGGTTCAAAGTGTGCCTGCCTATCATGCATGGGTCGACCTTTTGGAGAAAAAAGTGCGGATCTTTTCCTAACGCCCCAGCTCAAGCGTCATGGACGACGACGCTACAAGTATAAAATACACCCCGTACGTCTACCGCAAACAATACGCAATTGGCCAATTGGCCTCTTTGACCTAGCTAGCCGCCCCTGCAAATAGCTAGGGTACTCTGCCTCCCGCCGGCGCCGGCGTCGGTCCGTCCCGTCTTCGATGGGCCCCTTGCCGATGGGAGGGTTCTGTTTTTAGATCTTTTTTCAAGGTTTCTTAGGGTTTGTGTCCTGCTCAGAAAGGTGAAAGGTGAGACGGCGGCGGCTCCCTGAAGATGGAATAAAGGTCTTCTTGCCTAGCCCCCTTTCTGGTGATGCGTCAAGCATTATCGGTGGGCGTGTTGAGTTGTGTCTCCGGCTGATCTGTTTTTGATGAATTTGCTGGTGTTCTTGGTGGATTTGGTGTAATGCCACGAAAATTATATTAGTGAAAACGAAAGAACCGAATTAGGGGAAACGCCGCCAGACCGTACGTGGAGCTGTGCCGATGCAGAAGCATGCAATCAAGCGACGTCGATTTGTTCGCCCAACATTCTGGATTTATAATTCAGTTGTAGACGGCATGCATTACTGTCTCCTGGCCACAAGACTCCGTGCGGAAATTTCCGTAGAGTTTACTTCCGATCAGCATGCGTGCCGCCAATTAACATCACGGAAGATCTTTGTGGATTTTTCGCAGCGCGTAAACAAATTCTCTGCCTCTGAAGTCGGAGTACTAGTACGGTACTCGCTGGTCTGTTTGTCTGTAGGTTTCAGTGCCTGTCTGTCTGCCTGTCTTTGGTCCATGACTGACCTGAATCTGTAGCTGAATGATGACCATGGATTGGGCTACGGATGGACGCTGAAGTTGCGTGGCAAATCCGCATGGATGAACGTCATGTAACTAAGCTTCAGCGTGGATGGTTCTGATTTCTGAATGAACGAAGGAGTGACGTGGGACGTCGGGCTATATGAAAACTTAATTCTAACAGGGTCTGGTTTGAACGTCGGAAAATGACTTGACTGAAAGAAGATCGCGTCTCGATCGAGTGCGCATGTGCGTTGGTGACCGACCTGCCCGGGACTTGGGCGCTCCAAGTGGGCTGGTTTTGTTGACAAAACTTGCACATACGGCGGGAGTACGTACGTACGTGCAGTGCACAGAGAAGAATGGAAGAACATTCGAGATTTGTCCACCAGAGTTGCATACAACTAGCTTTTCGTCTAAAAGTTGCATACAACACTGCTCTGCAGCCCCTGGGCCGCCTCTGAGAGGCGCTGCGCTCTCCCTGCTCTCTGCCGCTCACAGGCCGTCCGATCCGGACTCCAAGAAATCTCTGCCGTCCTTCAACTTGTTCAAGAGTGCTCGATTTGTTGAAGATACATTTCCCCTTTTCAATTTTTTTTACCCCGGTTATTTTTTGTAGGAAAAAAAAGGGACAATCAACTGTGGTGTTCAGTGTGTACAAAGGACCTCCGCGCTCAGGACAACGGACAGGACCTGGGCTGCGTTGGTGCCCCCGAATAAGTTCTTTTGCACAAAAAAGTCAAAAGAGCAAAGAGAAAACTTTGGAAGAGCAGCTAGCCAGCACTCCAATTAATTGGCTGGTCGCGCTGGAAGTACGTATGAAATTAATATATCTTTTTTTCCCGGTATGAAATTAATTTATCTACCACTCCAATGAGTTGTAGAGCACACAGTGTGTACCGAAACATCATACTCCTACTAATGTGGACATTTCATCTTTCCTTTTGTTTAGGTTAGTAGTAGCAACATTCGTTTTAAAAATGAATGCATGGAAGAACAGACGAAATTCCACTGAGTTTTCAAGCATCAATCTATCTTCCCAGGATGTCAAACTCTTTCTCTCTCTCGAAAAAAAGAGAACATCAAACCCCGTCCCTTAATTTCCACTTGAACTGTACTCACTTGCTGATTCAGAAAGTGCGTTTAATTAGCAGCATCTCTTTTGCTGGGCCGGCAGAAGAACCGGATACTAGTTTGCGCGAGAACATTAATTAACTTGATGGGTACAAAGTGCATAGCTACTGTGCACATCAGTCTTGCTTACTTGTCGGCTTGTCGCTCATGCATGTGTACAGATCTTTTCCTGAAGGGAAAAGCCCAGCTCAAGGTCGCAGATGTTGACGCTACTGGCAAAGAACAGATGTTTCCACGTAGTCCCTCCGTTCCTAAATGTAAGTCTTTGTAGAGATTTTACTATGGACCACATACGGATGTATCTAGATGTATTTTAGAGTATAGATTCACTCATTTTGCTCCGTATGTGGTCCATAGTGGAACCTCTACAAAGACTTATATTTAGGAACGGAGGAAGTAGTATATTAATAGGGGGATGCAAAGATATAAACTTTTAAATGCAAAGACAACTTGGAGAAGATAATGCACAGACATTTCGTGCATGTTTGATAATTAGCTGTCGTTGGATGCAGATATTTAGCTCGAAACTTGCAGGCCAAGTTCAGATCAGCCTTGGTCGCTTCTCACTTCTCTGTACGCAATCAGAATTTATGCCGCCAAAATTTAGAACGAAATAAGGGAATGAAAATGAGGCTGTGCCACTGCTTGCAGCTGTAGCTGTTTGTGCATGAAGCATGCCATTACATCACACAAAATACTCCTACTGGTCTTCGATCATGCGGAAATTTCCGTGGCGTTTAACATCACCGCGATACTGGAGATTTCATCTGCCGTGATTAAACAACTCCGTTTGCAAAAGTCTGAATCTAGCAAGTACGTCTCGCTGTGTTTTCCATTACCTAAATGAGGACCGTTGGAACCCGCCCAGCATTCCACATGGCACGATCTTCTACATGGAGATTTCGGAATTACAACGTGTGCATCGTACCACAAAATACACGACGCGCTAGCAAAATTACTCGTCTTGCACTGGCAAAATTAAATAATGTTTGTCTAGCACTAGATAAACTAAAATAGACTCCTTGAACGTCAGAAATATGACTTGACTGAAGAATTATACGGTGACCAACTTGTTCAGACTTGGGTATTTCAAGTGGGTGGTTTTTCGCTAATCTTCCGGAGTGTAAGACGTTTTTGATTTGTCAGTCACTTATTCATTACTTTGGTCAATCTTACCCAACTCCAACTTCCTTGCGCGTTTGAGATTCAGATCAAGACGGGAAAACCATCAAATACTCCCCATTGTCTTGGAGCAGCAGTTCAATAGAGAGGCCAACAGATGGAGCGGCGTTACATCGACCGCATTGAAGACGGCGGGTCTTGGCGGCGTGGAGAAGTGGAGAAGTGAAGTCTCAGTGTTGGACGTGGTTTCATCGACGCGCACAGGCTGGTGACGCTGTCTGGTGTTGTGGTGACATCGCCGGCAGATGCGACTGGCAGGATTTTTGCAGTGGTCCCTCCTGAAGATGGGAAGGCGGAAGATGGCAGCGGCGGATCCTAGAGCGTGCGCAGGCGGTGCACGTTATGGGACGCCTAGACCGGATGGTCTTAAGGCCACTGGATTAGATTGTGTCTGTTATGTGGACACGGCGCATCTGTATACTTTCTAGGTGTAGCAACTTTGTTCGTCTAGTAGGTGGCTTCGGGTTGATCCCTGTAATCATTTTGTCAGGTTCTGGTGAATAATTAATAAAGATGGTTGTGTGCATCATGCTGATGCAGAGGCTGGGGCTAATCCTCCTTGTCGAAAAAAAAACTCCCCATTTGCCACATCTATCTATCATATATAAAAAGTATTTAATGGGTTTACCAGAAAAAAAGAAATTAATAGACTAGAAAATCCCACAAAAACCAGTAACTTATGGCCGTTGATTT